GAGCAAGATTCAGCTTTAACTATTTCTACTTTAACATTTATATTTTATTCCTTACTTTATTTTATTTTTATTTTTTGACTTTTCATTCACGTCACAATCACCGATGATTAAAACACAAAATTTGTATAATTCACGAAACGGAAATAAGTTTTGTCAAAATGTATCGTTGCAAATCTGTAAAATCTGATAATCTTGAAATTTGTTTCTTCGAACAATTTTAATGATTTTAATATAACCGCAGATAATAAACTGAAAGAAGAGAACTGAGAATTCTTGTTGAAAAATTTACCAAGATATAACGAATTAGACTTGCTCCGACATTCGTATTCTGCTAGAATGCTTCGTTCTAACAATGAGAAATGGTGGATTAAAATATCAAACGATATATTCGCGTGCACGCGGAAGCACGGTCTTTGTGGTTGAAGCTAAACCTCGCTGAAACTGGGGTATCCATATTTGCAGTGGAACCACAAAAAATCCAATACTCCGCGAGTGAAATTATTTTACCGTTGTCGACGGTTAAACCAGACATGTTTCAAATTAATAAAAATGCTGCAGCTTCATAACCTGTGATCTACAGCCAAGAAAAATATATTCCACGTACACGCATGCATATGTACATGCAATTTCTTCTTCGTACGTACGTTGATTTATTAAAAATGAGTAATTACGAACAATGAAAAAAAAAAAAAAACGAACAATTTATCAAAAACGATAGTCTATTTGAAGAATGCAAGTGTAGGAGATGATAAGGCAGATTTTTCATGCATATTTTCCTCTATAGAAGAATTTTAAAATTGAGTACATTATCGATTAATTCCGACGTTATTAAGGTCGTCCCTTTATTTGATTTTTGGGTTGAACGTGGATTTTCTATCTACTTTATAACTACAGATTACTTTCACGGGATATATAGTACGTTGCCAATTAATCCCCGTATTATTAGAATAGTTCTTTTATTTGATTTTTGGATTAAGCACGGATTTCCCAGAAATATTGAAATCTTAAGATTAAGATATTAAAATTAATTCAGCACGTCAAAATCTTTTGTCTTTTCATTTGATCTTTAGATCAAACATTTTCTAGCCTCGTTACAAATTTTAAAAATATCACTTTGTCAAATTATTAAAATTCTTCTTCTTTCTTTTGATAATTATATTCAACCAATATTTAACAGATTCTTTTCACTTTTGATTATTTTACATTAAAATGTTAATTAAATAAACAATGAAATTTAATAGACTCAATATTTTATATTAAAGTACACTTGTAGTCACAAATTAAAAATGAAAGTGTGAGTCTTCATTTTCTCGTTTTGTTCCTCTCTTCGATCACTGCCAGCTGATGGTTGTCAATATGGAAGAAGAAGGATTAGAAGAAACAAAAATTAAAAGCAGAAACATATTTATCACGTATTCCTCTCTATCTTCATTTTTTCATCTCGTCACTCCCTTCGACCACTGCCCATACGGGTCATCAATATGGAAAAGCAAGACTTGGAAGCGAGAGGAACAATCGAAAGGAAAGCAGAAGCAGAAGAATACAGAAAAAGGAGAAGGACTATGAAGAAAAAGAGGCCTGGAACAGAACGGCCGACTAGGCAGCTGATAGTGATTGCCAAAGTGTGTAGTGGCGATTTAAAGGGCAGCAAGCTACTTCTTGCTTTGGAAACGAAAAGGCGACTGGTGTCCAAAGAACTAGTCGGCAGATGGCATACGTTAGTCCAGACCTTAACTATACAACCTTACAGGACTATTCTCGAAAGAAAACACTCTCTTCTATCTGGGTAACTTCCTCTGCTCTCTTCCAACACCATCTTACAAACCTTGCACGACCGTGATCGTTTTCCATTAAACCGTGATTACGCCGATCAATTTCATTGGAATCGAGTTTCAACGACTCGGCTGCTTACCTCGAATTGCTTTCCATCGTGATTACTTCTATCTGATTCCTTCTTCGAGCATATTTAGAGATACATCGTTGAAATGGATGTTAAAATCAATGAATTTACTGGAAAATCGGAACGTCCATTTATTTGAATAATTTAATATCCGAATATTTTGTGATCCGAGACTATTTAAATGTATCATTAATTTATCTTGCCAGTAGAAGATCTTCCAAAGGTGTAAAAATTTATTAAAAATATACAAGATATAAGACTTTGTTAACAATTTTTATCAAAATAATATTTAATTCATAAAAAGAATTAAATAATTTAGAAGCCAAGATATGACTGCTAATAATTTAGCAGCCATTCTTAATTGTTCTATTATCCAAAGATTCCATTAACCAAATATTCCTGTCTCCCTATTAGTTCGATCGTGTCCCGTAAATCACACAACAAATTCGATTATTCCATAGAGTGTTAAAAATCGAATGTTGAAGTTTTGAATCTGAAGCAGTTCAGATAACTTTACCAAGTAAGTACATCGCTGTCGCTTTCGACAATGAAACGGCTCGAGATTTTTGACGAAGAATCGCGGACAAGATCGGATCCGCTCTCCTCGTGTCTCTCCGAAGAGCAGGTGCGCCATGCATCACGGAGAACCAGTCTTTTTCTTATTGATCCTGCTTCTGCCCTTTGGACCGTTACCAATCCCACCTGCCGATCACGTGGTTTCCCCCGGCCACTCAACCAACTACAATTTACTTTTTGATATAGCTTCTTCTATACAAAATATCTTTCATACATCCCTCCGAGCCAAAGTATCTCGTCCTTCGTTGCCAGATTTTTCATTCAAAACGATCAAGGATCTTTCTGCAAAAAGGTCCTCAGATACTTTTTGAGTCAAACATATTTGTTCCTCGTCACCAGATTTTTATTCAAGATCTGACCAAGGATCTTCTTGCAATTACTTCTTGCAAGAGGCCTCTCAACACACTCGTTGAAAGACTCAAAGAACGAGTTTCATTTACCATTCTTTTCAATCAATTTATACTACAATATTCGAGCTGTGAAAGAAAGCTGCAAAGATTCGATTTAACATTTTTTTTTTTTTTTTTTTTTTTTTTTATCAAAGAAATGATTAACATCGTTTTACACAACTCAAATCACGTCAATGAATATTTTTAAAAATAGATACGAAATTTCGCAGTATGCAAGAAATATTACAAATCGCACTACGTACAAATCGATCGATCATTTTGCTTGAATATATTTTTAAAACAGCGAGGATCAGTTAGCCAACATTGAGTTGGGAAATTTGTTGGAATTTCGTCATTTCCTAAAAATACAATGACAAAATTCAGAGCGCGTGCAGAAAAGAATACGGTTGCAATGAAATGTAGTTAAGAATGTACAATGAAGTATCGTAGCATTCCAGAGCCGTTGTTGCATTCAACAGCGTACATACAATTGCCCATGCTACGTAAAGAAACGCAACACAGAAGAAAGGCACGACCGTGCGAAAAGCAAAAGTTAATCGTGACTGAACGAGCTATGGGCGTTCCATGGTAATTTGTAATCCAATATAATCAACCGAGCAAATGCACCGAAGCCGCATACGTACGCGTCCAGGTTTTTTGCAAGGTGCCCGATTGAAGACCACCTGTCGGTGTTGTACGCCGCTCGATGACAATTTGCCGTGCATCGGAGAAAGCAACTTGGGCGAGCCACTATACGCAATCTATAAGAGCCCATTGTACGCCACGCAGTGGGGCATTCGGCCGATCTAGCTGGCCAAAAATCGCGCCGCTGAAACACGTGCAATTGGAACAGATTTCTTTTACACTTCCCAATTAGAACCATTGCACGGAGGAAGATGTTTGCTTCGAAACATTATAAAAATTAATTGTAAATATCTGCGGAACAATGTGTTTTATGTAGAATGAAATATTGATGCTGTACGCTTGAGAGCTATGTGAAGAACTTTTTAAATATTTCCACATTACATTATCCCTATTTTAATATTATTCGAAGATTTAAGGGCATGGTATGCGAAATCGTTGAATTTGTCTTGATCATTTATTAACTTAGCACCTTTCTTTACTTTTTATACAAGTTCTACAAAATTAAAGTTGAAACATTTTTTAAATTCATTAATTCTCAAATGACAATCTTTCAAACATGTTAATTCTGATAAATGAATAATAAAGGAAATGTTTCCATTTGGAAAAATAATGCAATTGTAAAATTTACGTGAATTATGATCCTTAAAAAAAATATGATCGTGAACATGTAATTCATCTTGAACTATTCGTCTAAATTTTTTTTTTTAATTCAACCAATAAAAAAATATTATTCGCTTAAAAAACACGTCTCATAAATTTTTTTAATACGTCAAATATTATACCAAACGTTGTACAAAATATTCCAATTTGCAATTTAAAATTCCTCGTTATTAAATCGCTAGACTTAAAGAAAGGTAATTAATCTGGAGAAAATAATGAAACCTGCAGAGTAAGTGAAGTATAGCTTAATTCGAGTCGTAAATAGGGAAATAACGATATCTAATTGTTCGATCAAGCTATTTGTAAAGAAAGCAATAACTGAGCTGTTGTGTACAGCACGCGAATAACAGATCGGCAAAAAGTAAAATGGCAAAAAGATAAGACCTACAATGGAAAGGAAGATAAATAATGCCTTTATGACAGTTTATATCTCTATTTTCCACATTTTTTATGAAGAGAAAGATAGAATAGAAAGAAAGAAAGAAAGAAAGAGCAATTCTGACAATAGAAAATTTTCATAATTCACAGTTTTCGTAGTTTTATGGAATCTTTTCAAAAGAGAAAAAGGACCGTGCCTGTTTTTGTTTCTCCTCTTTCTCTCTTCGTCTTTTTACAAATGTATTTCATAAAATATAAAATTATTTCGCAGAAGTATAATTGAAGGAAACAACACGATAATGTATAGGGTAAATGCATGCGAAGGATCGCAGTCACGCGAACCAGAAAAAAAAAATACGATCGCAAAGGGTTGACAGGTTTCAAAGGATCTTGGCACGAATCCCATCCGGTTTGATAAAGTATCTCGATATAATCTCATAATACAAGGCAAATATAATGTAACAACTTTATTTGTATAATGTAACAACTTTATTTCAAAATCACACGACTGGTAAAATAAAAAAGGACACTAGTTATTTAATAAATCACAAAGTACAATCACAAAGTACATTATACTTAAGAGTAAAAAATTCGGCAATTTTGTACTTGAAATGTTTCCAGGCAATGTACAAGATTTCGCGGAAACTTGTTAATTGCTAGTTTGTTCTCATGAATTATTTTCTTCGTGAAAGAAATAATTTCTTTATGTACGTTTTATCACAGATCTTCATCATCATCCGTATATTCACACTCTTCTATAATTCTTGTGATTTCTACGTCATGTTCTTGACACTCGTCGTCGGATAAATGCGAGTCACCCTCCATAAACTTGGCAAATCTAAAAACACGCATGATAAACTACGTTACATGAACATATATAAGATAACATTTAATTTGCAATTCTTTTCAATGAATCTATACTACTAAATTTTAATTTTTAATTAATCTAATTTTCAAATAGTGTCGTTGAGTTATAGGAGATAGTAATTTGTATTAGATTATTAAACTTTTCTATTTTGCATTTAATTTTATTTTGTATTTTATGTTTTCGGTGACAATTAATTAATTATTTTAACTAAAAAATTCCAAAGGTTTTCTTGATGCAATGTTCCATGACACCAGTTGAGAATTTCTATTGCAATTATAAAAGAAAATTCCAATCTTTTACCTAGATTCTATAATTTATGAGATTTGAAAAAATCGAAATATGTATGATATTATGAAAGATTAATACTTGATCCTTAATGGGTTAATCTTCATAAACACACACACACACCTGCACGTATATATATATATATATACACACACACACACGTTGAATTTCAATTAATATACATAATAATGATAATAACCTTATTGGATCTTTTAGTCTTAGAACTGTTTTCCATGGATTACATTTAGGACTAGCACAATACTCTTTTAGCTCGTTTAATGCTTTTTTCGTTTCTCTTATGCCTTCTTTACGATATTGGTCTTCTGTTAATAATTTTCTTCTTTCAGGAAACATGTTCTTCCTGATTTTGAACAGGTGTATATATGTAACATATGGTCTTGCTTTTCTAAACGATAATACTAATGCTGTCGTTATTATTACCATTGTTACCGCTACTGCTATTGTTATTCTTGTTACTATTAATTAATTGTTTGCATTTGTAGCAAAAATATAATTTGTAATAATTTGCAAATAAAATAGGTGTTTACGTATTTATTTTACTAAGTAATTTAATTTTGTCGTATTTATTTCAAATGAAATAAAAATAATACCGTGAAGAAATATGAAACGACAATTTATTTACACAAGTGTAAAATTTAACAATAAATAAAGTAACATAAGTGTTATTGGAAATACCGATATGCAATAAAAAATTAAATTAGATTATATTAGAAATTAATAATAATAAACATCAAAGGTAAGCACTGAAGCAAACAACACTAACAAATAAAATATCAGCTAAAAAGCTTAATAATGATGATATCGTCGAATAACTTACCAATAGATTCTGCCTTTTTGAATTATTACAGTAGGAAAGTTATAAAGTAGAAAAATTAGGATACAACAAAAAGTTGATGCCTCACGAAAATAACTACTATAATACATGATAACCAATCCTGCCATCTAAATAAATAAAAAAACAGAAAATATTAAATGAAATAATTTCTTAAGAATTTTGATCTATTAATTTTATTCGAATGAGCTATTCTACAGACCTGTAGAAACCATTGAATAAGTCTTTTCGTTCTAATGTTTGTGACAGGACCAAACCGATAAGCAATGACGAAACTGATAAGAGACGTTAATAAAATGTACCACGCGACAAATTCTTTATACTCTACAAGGATTAATTGGATATTTTCCCATAAAATTTGGATTAGATAAAAACTCATTGTCCAACCAGTGGCAATCGTGAGGTACATCATTTTACCCTTAAATTGCATATGTTTATTAATTTGTAAAAAAAAATTAATTTGTTAAAAACAGAAATGGATTGAAAGAATTAATTTACCCTTAATAGAAATTTGCTAACAAAGTATACTAAAATTATAACTGAGGTGGTGATTCCAAGCACTATACTGCTTAGATAATAAAATAAAGAATTTCCACTGAATTTATGAGCATTCCAAAACATAGTAGCACCCATCAGCATTAACATTAATGCAGGGACATCGATACCTATTTACACAAAAACCTAAGTACCTTTCATTTATGCAATAAATTCTTTTGCTTTGGTATACTCACGTGTTTGTATCATGCTCACTGTATATTTGTGCAAATTAGAGGAATATATGTATACACCAATGCATACATCTTCGAAAGGATTAATCTTTAGTCTGTTGCTTTTTTTTGTACTGAATACGTTAAAGCTCCACGACCTCTGATTATCATCATGCTTTTTTGTTACTTCTTGGGGAGTTTTTCCATTATAAAGATCATAATTTTCAATATTTGTATTCAAGTGTATCTACAATGTAATAAGATAAGACTAAATGATAAAGACTAATTCATATGAAGATGTACATGTATATATGAATCGCTAAGTATTATTTCTTACTGTTAAACTTCTCCACATATGAATCAAATATTTCGTATTGGCACTATGGCAGAAAGTTTGTAATCCAGGCTTGTCATTTTCAATAACATCTCCTGGCTTTAAAAAGTATACTAGAAACAAGTTTAAATTTACAAAATTAAATAAATAAGACAATCCTAAAGGTATTCTTTCCAAACTTATTCTTAGAAATGAAAAGTAAAATATAATGCTTTCAAAATTATCGAAAACAGAATACTAACAGATGACAAATGTTAATATTCTCATGATAAAGATAAAACAAAATAGAATAGAATTGTTCAATAAAAAATATTGTTATAAGTGAATGGATGTTGGTACGACATAAAGTAAAAACTAAAGCAACTTTTTCTTTCCATTTTTATCTATAATTTTTATTACTTATAACGATAAAATTAATATAGTTTGTAAACATTTTATAGGTTATAATAATGTGTATTACAAGTTAGCACGGCTTACTTGATTCCATGGTTGATGCAGATTCTGTGCACAGATAGTTGGAAATAAGTAAAAAGATAATTACACTCGACCACTGTACTATTTCGTTGCTCATTTTGTGGTCTAGTAAAAAGTAACCGGTCTTTTAACCTTAACCTACAAATTTTGCGGAATAGAGAAACACTGAATATGTCTGCAGGTAATAGTCTGAAATTCAAAAATCGAGATAAACGACTCTCGATAGTGTTAGCATATTTAAACTCGTTTTGACATAATATAGCAATCAAGTGAATCACCATAAATGATTTCTTCTATAAAAAAAATTAGTTTCTCATTTTCTATAATTACAATCATTTATCTATTATACTAATTTAAATTGTTGTCCTTATTGGACACTGTTGCTCTCTTTGTCTACAGCATCTATATGTCTGTCTTTGTCGCACGCTAATGCCCTCCTTGTCTAATGACGTTAGACAAGGAAGACAATACTGTGCGACAAAGACATCCTTTGATCTATTGAAAAAAAATTCAACTTTTTTCACACACGTTTTTCTAGGGCAAAATAGACATAGAAAGAAAGCGGCGAACCTAATTCTAAGGACGCACATAAAAATGTTCGCAAATTATTCCTCGTAATTAGGTTTTTTTCATAATTAGTTCGAATTTTCAGAAAATGGACATGGTGGCGTCATCTACGTAACTCAGTGGTACTAATTATTTATAAAAATACTTCTGCATTTTACGGGTCAAATGAAGTATGAAAAGAAAGCTGAGGGTCTAATTAGGGTAATACAATAACAAAAGTTCACGATTCATTTCGCTAAATTAGGTTTTTTCGCAAATGAAAATTTCTCTGTTTTACGGAGTAGAAAACACTAGCGCCGCGTTGTGGCAGACCGGTGGAACTAAACGCTCAATAACCATATAAGGAGAATTAATTTTTCACGCTACTAATTTGCACTCCACGAGCACATATTTGAAAGATAATGCTATCAGTTACGTTCGCAAATAAATCTGAATCTAATATTCACTATAGTTTGCGCGAAATTATGCACTAATTACTGGCACTACAGCTAATATAAACGAAATTGAAACATTCTTTATATACGTAAACTGTACTTAAACAAAACATAAAACGCAAGCTTAGGGTCTCTAAAATCGAAGACGCAACCATAATAGTTCACAAATGATTCCTCTTAATTAATTTCTTCGCGTAATTTGTGGGAAAACTGTCATCTGTCGATGTTTAGAAGCGACGGTGGCGCCATCTACTGGTAACTGCATAGTACTAAAAACTGATTTTTCCTACTTTTAGTACTATCGAGTTATCAATAGATGGCGCTTTCTAAACCGTCGCTTCTAAACATCAACAGTTTTTCCACAAATTACGCGAAGAAATTAATTAAGAGGAATCATTTGTGAACTATTATGGTTGCGTCTTCGATTCTAGAGACCCTAAGCTTGCGTTTTATGTTTTGTTTAAGTACAGTTTACGTATATAAAGAATGTTTCAATTTCGTTTACATTAGCTGTAGTGCCAGTAATTAGTGCATAATTTCGCGCAAACTATAGTGAATATTAGATTCAGATTTATTTGCGAACGTAACTGATAGCATTACCTTTCAAATATGTGCTCGTGGAGTGCAAATTAGTAGCGTGAAAAATTAATTCCTCTTATATGGTTATTGAGCGTTTAGTTCCACCGATCTGCCACAACGCGGCGCTAGTGTTTCTTAGCCCGTAAAACAGAGAAATTTTCATTTGCGAAAAAACCTAATTTAGCGAAATGAATCGTGAACTTTTGTTATTGTATTACCCTAATTAGACCCTCAGCTTTCTTTTCATACCTCATTTGACCCGTAAAATGCAGAAATTAGTATTTTTATAAATAATTAGTACCACTGAGTTACCGCTAGATGGCGCCACCATGTCCATTTTCTGAAAATTCGAACTAATTACGAAAAAAACCTAATTACGAGGAATAATTTACGAACATTTTTATGTGCGTCCTTTGAATTAGGTTCGCTGCTTTCTTTCTATGTCTGTTTTGCCCTAGAAAAACGTGTGTGAAAAAAGTTGAATTTCTTTTTTTCAATAGATCGAAGAATGTCCTTGTCTTACACTAGCGTACGAGACGGACAGAGATATCTATGCGGCAGACAAGGAGGGCGATAGCTTGGGACAAGGACAGACATATACGGGCGCTATACATGGAGAGCAACAGCGTGCGATAAGGACAACAATATAAATTAGTTCCGACACCTATCTTAGGGGTGATCCACACGGTGCATGCCTAAGTGTATATGGATGCTGTCCTTACTAACTTCACTTCGTGAAAGTAGCGCGAGTTCATTGTATGATTCGAAAACATTGGTAGAGAGTACTGCAGTGTATGAAGCAGAAGGAGAATTTAATGCTGAAGCTCGTGAATTGCCTTGAATTTATAATGAGTCAGTTTATCTCGTTGCAAGGTATATATCGAGTGATATTGTGATAAGAACTTCTCAACAAAATGCATTGTTAAAATTGTATATTACATTTATTTACATTTATTTTCAGTTGGACAATGCGGAAACCAAATTGGTTCGGCGTTTTGGCCCTTGGCGTTACACGAGTACGGCGTGCAAACAACAAACACTGGAATGAATTTGCTTAAAACGCAACGAGATCATGTTAAAAACATCGGCGATTTGTCTGATGCGTTCGACAGCTTCTTTGTTGTACCTGATAATTCACATGATTTGTGCTTCAAAAGTATAACCGACTTGAAACGAGCCAAGGTCAAAGCTAGGGTATATTGATTACTTTATTTTATTGCTACTCAATTATAAAAAAAAGTCAAATGAATATTTACACAAATTTATGTCATGGATCTCTTGATATCTAGGCAATATTGATAGATATGGAAGATAGTGTTGTAGGAGGGTTGAGGAAAGGACCTGTGCGTGACTTGTTTGATCAGGCTTGTGTTGTTACAAATTATCCAGGGTCTGCCAATAATTGGTATTGATCTCTTGATCATTTTGATTGTTATGCTGGGTCTTTTTGGGTAAAAGAAATATTGTTGATACATTTTGTAGGGCTGTAGGTTATCATACTTATGGTACAGAATATCAGGAGAAATTGGAAGATACTATCAGACATATGGTAGAAAAGTGTTCTAGGTTACATGGTTTTCTATTAATGCATTCTGTTGGAGGTGGTACTGGTTCTGGATTAGGAACAGCTGTTTTAAAGTTATTGGCTGATAATTATCCTACTATAGATAGGTATTAACTTTGTCAGAAAAAGACATGAATGTTTTTCTTAACATTGTGTTAAAGTGTAATTACAATTAAGAACATTAGCTGACATCTCATTGTCAATGTTATTGTTATTAACTTTTTTAGTAGTTATTGTTATTACAGACTAGTATCTTGCATATATCCAATTGTTATGCAAGATGTTGTCACAGCTCCATACAATGTATTGCTGTCGACTCGAGAGCTTATAGATTACGCAACTTGTGTATTTCCTATTGAAAATGAATCCCTTTTGGATATATGCAATGCACAATTGAAAGTAAAAGGCAACACAGAACAAATAAATTACAATGTCTCGTGTAAGCCATTTCAAGATATGAACAGTATTGTTGCAAATATGCTTCTTCATTTAACCAGGTAATTACAATCAGCTTCACAAATTCTTGTTTATAAGTATATATTTTGAAAATAGGGATACTACTTTTTAGTGGATCTAGGTTTCCTGGTAATTTAAATATGGATATGAATGAAATAGCAACGAATCTCGTACCATACCCGAAATTACATTATATATTCAGTAGTGTCAGTCCATTAACGTTATCTGCGCCAACGATGTACAGTGTATCAGGAACAAAGTACTTGTTAGCTTATGATGCTGTACTGTTATGTAAAATTATAAAAACGTAAACCGTATATTTTTTTAAGGCTAATAGATGAAATATTTATCAATGCATGGTCACGAAATAATCAGTTAATTAAAGTAGATCCGCTACAATCAGGTTCTATGATTTTGAGCGCTGCGCATGTTGCTAGAGGAAACTGTTCTGTGAACGATTTAAAACGAAACATTGAGAGGTAAAGCGTGTATTTTGTCAATACGCATTTTCCTTGCAAGCATCTGCTGTAATGTGCAGTATAATGTTTTACTTTCTAGATTTCGGAAAAAAGTTACGTTCACAGATTGGAGCAATGAAGCTATGAAAGTAGGTTTGTGTTCTGTACCTCCAGCTGGACACTCAACCTCTTTGTTATGTCTTTTAAACTCTTCCTCGATGATCTCGTTATTTAAAAATGTAGTAGAACAGTTTACCAGATTGTACAGAAAGAAGGTAATGTTAAGACGAGCACGTATTTGTATGTGAAATGGCTCCTGAGAATCAGAAATGACTTTACATTATAAATTGTCGAAATGTTTAAAGATCAGCCATGTATCTTTTAAAAGTCATTGCTCCACCCTATATATACAGACATGAAATTTACAACTAAGATTATACGATTATGTTGCAGGCACATGTGTATCACTACACCCAAGTACGCGGTTTCGAAGAAACACATTTCATTGATTGCAAAGAAACAATTTCAAATTTGATTATGCAGTACACAGAGCTGCAAAGTGAAAGTCAAAAGAATATTTCTCGGTTACAGGTACTTTAAATTCTTAAATTAGATTGTTTTATTTAATTTGATCTGTACATTAACATAAACATAAAGCAATAAAAATAGAATAGTACAACTTATCTGTTGGCAACAATAAAATTACGTTTCGTTCATTGAAAATTTACAGCTTGCGCGAATTTTATATCCACATCAAAAATTTAGAATACTGAGCACATTATCTGTGTACTACATATATACGTAGCAAAAGCCTTTGAAAGTCGTTCAAAAACCAATCATCATCTTTGGAAATATCGATATACGTAACATTAATTTATACCGATGTTTTATCAGCGTTTTAACTGGCTGGTATTTGTGGCAAACCAAATTCGTCTACCAAGACGCCATCCTGGAAGAAAAAGAAAATTCTCTTTCAGTACAATTTACAAACAAGTAAAACGTTTTCTAATAGTTCTACGAAAAATAGTTGATACATATTTCCAATTTCATTCTCGATTTTATGAAAATACCTTATTCCTAATGGAACTCGCGCCAGGTTCTTTGTCAGGAGCGCTAGGTGCTTTGATCGCGTCATCCAAGTAACTAGTGTCTTCATCGACAGCCAAATCGTCTCCAAGAGCCTCTAATTCGGCAGCTAGTTCATCCTCGTCTATATCTGGCATACCATAACTGCGACCCATCGCCTCTTGGACTTCATCCGCTTGTTCCAACATATCCGCCAAATCGTCTTGAAGATCCTGCACGATACATTAACTTATGGTCGTAAAACAGCGAAAAGAAACATACAAGAAACAGAAAGTTGGCCTGAAAATACCTCGATCTGATCTATATTGATATTTTTAAACTCTTTCTGCATTTGTTTTACTCCTTCTTTCATAGCGACCACAGTTGCCTGAGTATCTTTCAGCGTTTGAGTGGCATAATTCGCCTGTTCCATGTTAAACGCTTGTTGACGCAAGTTGTCCACCTGCGATTCATACATCTTGCGCTGTTTCAGAATGCGTAATGCCTTAGCCTTCACTGCATTCTTCGCCGGGCCCTCTTTCATTTTAATCATCTGATCTTTGTACTTCTTTAATTCCGCGTCTAATTTTGCTATCTTTTTCTCCGCAGTATCCGCTCTGCTGTCGACCTGTCGCAAGCATAAACAATAATCGCACGTTAGAGGTAATCGGGCAGATGATAATATAACCTCTCTACGACGATGAAACGAAAACGAATATTTACCCCGGCGATACAGTCGGTAAGACTTGGTGACGGTTCTTTGGCTTTAGGTCGACCAAATAGTCTATTCATTTTGTCGAATAAAATACGTACAAGGTAAAATACGATTATTCCTTCCTCCTCTTTTCCTTTTCTTTTCTTTGATTTTTCTTTCTGTTTCTCGATCGTTATTCACTCGAAACGTCAAGCTGACTGACTCACTGCAGCCAGTTGCTCCATCTACTGTCGCGCAACATGTTTATCAATGTAGTTTAGTTTCGAGCGGGATTTCGACATTCCTGCTTTCAAGGTAAAAAAATATAATGAAATTTAACCGGTTATTAGTGAATGACTATCTACTAATACAGTGTTATCTGTCTATCCGGAGCAAACATTGTAACACGACACCCATCGTTACAGCTTGATAACGATATTATCGTCATTATCAGCGTTTCCGATTGGTGGAATTCTAATCGACAAATAATAACCATTTCATCGACGAAGACTCAATTCATTTAATCAAAGGAAAGTTTCATTTTCTGGAGGGAAAGGAATTCTACGCGCAAGCATTTGAGACACGTTAAAACATCTCTTTCTAATGCTGAAATCAACGAAGAAACGTTGCAAATGTGCAACATGCCGCGACAGCGCGCTGCCAGGTTATTTATCTCGGTCGGTAAGCGCACGTGTACGTTTCGCAAGCGAATGCAGAATGATAGGTTAGAGAGGATGGCAGTGGAAGGGACTAAGGCGCTCGTGTCGGGCGGATATTTGAAAATTCAGGTGAACCGACGAGGCTCCACGCGAGCGTGAACGTCGGAGAGGCGGGAGCAGATAACTGGCAAGAAGATACATCGAGCGAACGATGACGATGGTGATTCGACGTTGACGATCGCGCGACGTTAGCGACGATAATGGAAGTGACATGGAGAGTGGCGGAGGCAGTGGAAACGGCGGCGGTGGTAGCGGCGGCTGCGGCGGCGGCGGCGGCGGCAGCGGCGGCGGCACGAAGGCGAACGTGAACGCGCGTGCGTGAGCGACGTCGCCGCGCGACGCAGCAGCGACGTAGCGACGACGACGTCGACGAGGACGAGGACGAGGACGAAGCGGCGGCCGAAGATCGCCGAGCGGACGGCTACGCGGAGAGACTACGGCTGGCATGGTGTGGGCCGCAGCACGGCCACAGTGTTCCAAAAGTCGGCACCACGCACGAATCGTGTTACGCGCGACGCAGAGCCACGAAGCTGCGTCGTCGAATCGCGCTCGGCTGGCCTCCGATCGAGTGCTCCGTCGAGCGCAGCCAGGGAACGCGAGCAACCAACAGCTGGCTGCCGTCCGATTAGAGATCGATCGAATCGGCGTCGTCGACAACGACGACGACGACGACGAGGAGGGCCGGGAAACTCGAGACTCTGTCCGCGTAGAGAGCCGACAGCTACGAAGACGGCGACGACGACGACGACGACGTGTAGAACAACGGCGTATTATTATTATTATCGTTGTTGGAAAGGATCGTGGCACGTGAACGGACAGGAGCAGTGCGCCGTGGGCAAACGATAAACCGCGAGTGGTTCATAGTACGCGAATTGCCAATGAGAAGCAGCGTTAGCTCGAACGAAGACAAGCCGAGACGACGACGGTAAGTTCGGGCGGCATTATCGATAGGACTCGGGCGGGATTGCGCGGTGAAGGAAACGACGAAGTAAGGAGGCGAAAGGGTTCGAGGCGAAGTTGGACCGGTTCGGCGATAGTACACGACGTTGAACGAGGAGAAGCGCGGATCGGTGTAACACCGGTGAACCGTCGAACTAAGCGGGGATTCCCCTGGCGCGCGCGATACGCACAGTGGCCGTACGCCGCGAGTCGCTCGGTGACTCGATCGATCGGTCGAGCGATCGGTAATCAGCGAAAAAAGAGAAAGAAAAGGAAAAAAAAAGAAAGAAAAGAAAAAGTATCGTCGGCGATTAACGGGGACGCGAGTGTTGTCGAACAGCGATACGCGCGCGCTGCTTCTCGCGCGGTGGATTTCATCGCTGAACGAAACGAGACGAAACGAAAGGAAAGGAAAGGAAAGGAAAAGGAGAGGAAAGGAAAGGAAAGGAAAGGAAAGGAAAACGGTCGGCTGTCGATCATTGTCGAGATTTCTGTGTTCAGTGACAAAACGCGTATATTATTCGTAGTGTGCCGCGTATATATATATATCAACGATACGCAACGATCAACGACGACGACCACGACCACGATCCCGGCCTCGTTTCGTTATAGAACGGCGGCGTGTGTGTGCGTGCCTCTATGGGTGAGCGTGTGTGTGTGAAACGCGGCTGAAGGAATCGACAAATAGTCGCGCTGCAAGACGAAAGGTCGCGTTGCCTCGCGTGTACTTGGGAGAATTCCAACTGGTTCGCCGTATATTCGCCAAAAGGGTAAATTATGCTCGCCAGAAGCTATTGAATAGTAAGCCGATAGAACGACGTTCGAACATCAGGCGAACCGAACGAACGTACGTTCGTTCGGACGGTAGGTTCGCGCGAACAGCGATGGTCATCGAGCGGTCAGTCGTTCGATAACTAGCAGAATGCTACGGAAGCAAAGTCGCTAGCGAATTACACGGGCGCGACGCATCTTTCTCGTACGTGTCCACGTTATTAGCTGGGTTATCGTATTATCAAAACAAGAAAGAGAGACAGGAAGAGGAAGAGAGTGTGAAAGAGAGAAAGAGCAAAAGAGAGAGAGAGAGAGCGTGTCTGTGTGTGTGTGTGTATGCGCGGAAGAAAAAGAGAGAGAAAGAAAGAGAGGAAGAAACAGAATACGCGTCAGGTCACGAAAGAACGTGCGATCGAAGCGCGTTGTAAAGAGGGAGAAACGCCGAGAAAAAAGGGAAAGAGTGAGATTGAGGGAGGGAAAGAGAGAGAAAGAGAGAGGGGAGGGAAGAAAAGAGATCGAGACAAAAGAATCGAGGAAAACGGCGAAAATAAGAGAACCCAAATATCGGTGTAGTTCGCACAGCTTCCGGGCTTCCGTGGGTGTTTTTACGCGTACGCCGTGGATCGATAGCTGTCTCGCGAGCTCTGGTCGACGGGTGGTCGACGACGTCCGTGCCGACAGCACAAACGACTCGATTTACCCCCTCGAACCCCGGCACCGGGTAAATTTTCTCTCTCGTGATCGACAAAAAAAAAAAAAAAAAAAAAACAAAGTCCCGAATCGGAAGTCCGCACAGATCCTAAAACAAGAATCCGTATCGTTCGACAGGGGGATCCAAAAGGAGTTGGTCGGCGAACGGGGCCTCGTTACGATCGGCAGGATACTCGTGGATCTTGCAAACCTGGCGATTTATGGGGGACTTTAGCGCGACCAGTCTCTTCTCCGCTAGTTTGTCCAGCACGACCAAGCCATCGATCGGCAGCAACACCGCGAATACCGGCGTAACCGTAACCACGTCAACGATGCAGGACGATCTGTTGATCGAGAAGCAAGCCAGTGGCAAGGCAGCGCCGCTATCGCCCAGCACCGGCCTGGAGACCGTCACCGGACTCGAAAAGACGAAGGACACGGTCGAGGTCGAGAGTATCGCTATCACGCCGACGACGCCCTCCTCCACCGAGAAGGAGATCGCTTGCAGCACCAGCTCGGCGTTGCAGAGTTTCTCCGAGGCGGGCCGAGTGCCGAGTTTATGGTCCGCTCCGGACGACACCGGTTTACACGCGTTACCTGTCAACGGATCTATCGCCGCCTTTCAGAACTTTCCGACCGGCGGTCCGACCGGGCTGTTCGCTGGTACCGGCCCAACCGTTTCGGCCGGTGCGCGTCGCGCTATCACGGCTAGTCACAATTTTCCGCAACAGCACGGTACCGCGACCGCTCCCACTACGAGACACGGGCTTCAGGTGTCGTCCGCCCAGCAGCAGCAGCAACAGCAACAGCAACAGCAACAGCAGCAACAACAGCAGCAGCAGCAACCGCCGCAACAACAACAGCAGCAGCAGCAGCAGCACCAACAACAACCGACAGCCACCTCGCATCCGGGTGTTTATCTACCTGGGAAGGGTTACGCGGCTTGGTCCGGTGGGCCGCAAGCGCCTCAACAATGGAGCGCTGGACCGCAAGCTGCAGCGGTGGCCAGTCCTGGCCTTTCACCCTGGAATCGTGGCAGATCGGTACCGAATCTTCCACCCCTTCACTCGTCGCTGCACGCCGCTGCGGCAGTTGCGGCCGCTGCCGGGCTACAGGGCAGGAAACCGAGTCCAACGTTTCCTGGCCACCCGGGACCAGCGGCTCATCCCTCCTGCATCAGTCCTGTGAAATTTCGAAGAAGCACCTCGTATCCCGGCAAGGGCAACATGTACCCACCGCAACCCGCACCGACCTTCGAAGTGACCACCGCCGAGGACAGGGACTTGCTGCAGCTGCCACCGTTTCAGCAGGTTCGAATCTTTGTTCTTTACTTTGACTTCTCATTTTTTTAAGATCGTACCGAGGCATGTTTGAGATTGATTCTTAATTACTCGTACTGAGATTTAGAAAGGATTCACTGGCTTACAGTTGGTTGTTTGGGACTGTTTTCTGTATTATTTGCAAAGTTCTCTCACACTTTTTGTTGAGATTAATCCTTAACGTACGAAAGTTTTTAATAATGCTGTATAAGAGTGAGATTTAAGAAATTGCAAGTTATTCACTACACATGTACGAGATGAACTAAATAAAATAGCCTTAATCCTTAACAAATCTTTAGCATGCTAAGGATTAACTGATATTATCGGACCCGTGGAAAACATAACGAATCGAAATTCAATTACTTAAATTCAGAACTTTTCATTAAAATTGAATTTTATTATAATCTAAATTTTAACAAGTAGTCCAACATAATTTACTGTACTCGTCTATGATCGGACGATATGTACCATTTGAAGGTTAGCTTTACAATTCGATCTATAAGTACTATCTAAAATCTCTCTCTCTCTCTCTCTCTCTCTCTCTCTCGAGATGTCTTAAGCTTAACGAGATAGCGCGAACGCGTCGATTCGAGGGCATACGGACTCTTTATTCCGTTATCGATCGTTCACCACCTACGAGAAAGGTTACGTTGCAGGAAGTGCTATAGCGGTATACGGTCCCCTCGAAAAAGTATACATCGGTAGCTTTAGCTTCCGCAGTTTCGTTGGTGCACGCATTCGATGCCAGGTTATGCAACCGCTTCGAGACATGCATTTAAATTTAGACGGTACAACGGCTGTTTCGTCGGTTGCTCGCCGTGAACGGTGTGACATCGCCATTTTTAAACGAAGCGAGGTTTCGCTCCGCGAGGCTTTTCGATTCGAACGTTCCAAAAGCCTTCTCGGCCGGCACGTTTGTTCTTTCGCAACGCGTGCATCCAGACTTTGGTTCTTCTCTACTTCGATCCTGACTTCAATCGTTTCTCTTGACTTTCGCCAGTTAATCCAGAATCCTCTGATTAATCCTCTGATTTCATCGCCACGTTGAAGAATGAAAATTTCTTCCCGTTCGCCCGACCCAGAGTAATTAATTCAGATCGTTTCCAAGAAGATGAAATCCTTTTAGTAAGTAATTCTGATCGATATGACAGAGACCTATCCTCGTTTCTCTTGACTTTGGCTAGTCATAGAATATTAATCCTTTCGCTACGTTGAGAATGAAAATTTCTTGTTTTCTCAGTCTGGAGTAATTAACTTTAGATCCAGTTTCTAAGAATATGTAAATTTTTCAGTAACTCCAGGTAATAAAACGCTCTAATGATTCGACAAAAGAGACTTGCAAACTTTAAGAGTGAAACTGAACGTTAAGTCGTAGAATCAGTTAATTCTGCTATTCCACGGTAGCGAAAGTAATTTTTTAAATAATCTCTCGCGGAATAATAGCGACCGAACAGTAGCGAAAAATACTCCAACTGTCAAACGTTGACAATTCCAAACAAAAATGTAAAAGAAGTAGCAACTTTGAAAGAGTGATACTGAATATTCTGTGAGATACGTAGATCCTCGCCGTAGCGAAAGGGGTTAACTTGAGACGAGCGTATTTTTCTAGCGTTCAAAAATATCTCAGCTCCGAATGAAATCTAAAAAAGTAGCTCTTTATTAGTGTGCGTAATTTTCTTCGTGAAAATGAACGTGAGGATCGCAAGACGGTTAAAATAGTTCGAGCCGAGTTTCCATTGATTCACACTGTCCATATGGCTTCTATAGGTTCGATATAAAACGAGAAACGCACGAAGACGTTTGGGTGGCCACGTTACATCGCGTTATATCTAAGAAAACATTCGTGGGATGTCAGTTTGACAACCGACCGCGTCGTTAATACAACTTTCGGTAGTACCTGTTCGAAAAGGGACCCCTATTGGCGAAACTTTTCCGATACTTATTTTGTTATTGATGCCTGACCTAATTCCTTTCCTGCGTGGCAGCTCAAACAGCTCAAACTGTCTAGCAGAGAAGTTTAAGCTCAGCTATTTTAACCACTTGTCAAAAATAGACCTGCATACTATCCGGGAGAAATGGCGGATTCTGTTATGCGAGCTATTATCCCTCGCGCATCTTCTTCGACGGTTTATATCGCGATTTTATACGCAGGCGTGTCGTATTTATATTAGATTGTCGCCGATTTCACAAGCGTGCAGTATCGTTTAGTGTTTCAGAGTGACAAATCAGTGGTTTGTCGATTGTTTCATTAGGAAAAGGTAGATTGTCCATCGAAACGAAAGTATGAATGATCTTCAAATTTTGGTGAACTTTTTTTTGCGAGAAAACTCTTTTTTAGAAGTTTGACGTAAGTTAAGTAACAATTGCTCGTAATTAAAGTGTGAATTTTATATATTTATGAGGAAACTGAAAAAAGATATATGAAACTGTACAAACATTAGAAATTCAGTTGTGAAATAAAGCTTTAAAACAGAGCTCCTACAAAGCTCCTACGTTTTAAATTATTTTCAAGCAAGAATTCGTATAAAAATCCGCAGTCCACTCGTGGCGCTAATATATTACAAATTCCCAAAGGTCACATTAACAGGATAGAATTTGCAATTCATGCAAAGAATTTAGATTAGAAATTACAATATGTGCAATATATACAATAAATTGCAAAATTATCCGAAAAATGATCATGACTGAAAATTTCAATTGCAATTAAAAAGTTACCCGTGGAATCGAAATTTAATTAATCCCCCAACTGGTATCATTGGACTTTGAGAATCGCCAAAATGTGGAATTTTTAACAAAAAGTTTTTTTTTAATTTTAAGTTTAATTTAAATTAAATACGATACAAATTTCTATAATTATCCATCTCACAATACCACTCGAGGGTTAGTATCACTTTCAAGAAAGCTACAAACGTTGAAACTTACGTTACGAATTTAATTATTTCATCTGCAACGATCTGACTCAAATATGACCACAGTGACTATCGAAAAGAATTTTGAAAAAGGGGAAAGACATGATAATTTAATAAAATTAAATTATAATTCACAAGAGAAACGAATGTATAATATAATCTCACGTCCTGTGATAGACGAGTGTTTAATACGAAAAAATACATTTGATACAAAATTTTGTTCGTTCACATCTAAATAACATCAGCTTTAAACTTCCTTTTGTCCGTTACTGCATTACGCACCGCGTAAAAATGAACGAGAGAGAAATGGAAATTAACTAGAAAGGTAAAACAACGGATGAGACGATACGACATTATGCGAAATTAATTTCATTCGTTGTTAGGTCCGTTCTGTTCGTCGTTGAGTATAGCAAAGTTCTCCTAATCTCTAGCAGACGCCATAATCCAATTATAACTTATACGAAACCTAGTTAATCGTAGATCGTGGGCAAAGGCTGGTACATCGTTCGATGCGTATGTACTTGAAAAATATTTTCGAGTTCGTTCTTTTCTCGAATGGAACTTGTGTATAATTATCTGCATATTTACATTCGTTACCGTGGACTCTTATATTGTTCATCTTGGCATATTTCACGACATTGTCCTCGATAAGTATGCGTGACATGCGTTCATTGTATACGTAAACTCACTGCATTCAATCACAATTGTTTCTTCCGCAATTCTCGATAACGACTGGCACGTTATTTACATCGAAATTCTCGATTCGTCGTATTTCAGTCATCAATATTGCTTTACCAAATAGTTTGCTCGATTTTTGCTGAAACGTGGGCTACTTTTCCTTCAATTTCATCGATGGAAATACAATTTCTCTCATTCTGTTAACACGTACATACTAGAACTACCGGTCTTTAATTAAATATTCTGCACAGCATTGTGTAAAATTCGTGTCTTCGAAGCTTCGAGCCGCAACCTTAAAGGCTGAGTTTTTAGGACAATTATCACACGAAGCTCAAGCATTTAGAACTTTAATACTTAGCTTTCAAAGTTTTTGAAGTTAAAGTAAAAATGAAATTTCATAGAAATTTTCCAGATTTACATCTGGTAGACTTTTAGAGATTTGAACAATCCTTTGTTAAATTAACTAAATAAAAGCTTGTGCTTTTTTATTGTATTATAAACTTTTAAAAATGAACATATATGAACGTATATGATAAAAATGAAACATTATGTAGAGAAAACCTTATGTTTCTTAAACACATTTTTATTAAATTCTTTTTTCTATTCCATACAATTAAAATTATTTGTTTCTTGCTAGTTTCAGATCTGTTACAATTATGTCACTATTAAAAATCAATATCAGTGTTACCAAAAATATCTAAAACATGTTTTCAACAATTAATTATAAAAGAAAAAGAAATAAAATCCATCATTTTGACGAGTTTGGTAGTTCTAGTATTAAAATCCGTTTAATTTTTTTTCATACTTAATTTTTTCATCGAGGCTAGTGCTTAATATGACGTGACATTTCTCTAATAGGAAGAAAGCGAAAATAGCAGAAGTAATGAAAACAGGAAAAAAAATGTCACGATAAAAATCACAATTTTCAAGTCAAAATGTCACTCTTTCTGCTACGTTTATCAATTCGACCTATTCAAAGGAGCTACATCTATTCACGGTGGAGTCAATGGTGAAATAAATGTTCGTTAAAGGGCAAAACTAGGTGCACACGCAATGATCCGTTCAAAGGATATACGTATTATAGAAATCGTGGGACGTTCGTCAAGTTGCTCACGAAAATATTTGACTATTTATTTAAATTCGAAGAAATTTTAAATATAAATAACATTTTACATATATACATTTTTTTACATATGATTTTACACAACGTTTTAGAATGTTTTATTAATATTGTAATGAGATGTAATTGCCATGATTATATCAGTCAAGTTTGAAACAAATCAAAGAACATATATATATATATATATATTTTTAATAGAATTTTAATTATTTATACACGATAGCATACATTTTCAGATTGGTTCTAAATTTTTAACAGGATAGAGCTAAGTCCAACTAAGCAAT